ACCACAAGGGATGACCCTGGACCCCCACACGTGAAAAAAACATGGGGCTCCGACTTTGGATTTTCCGATTTGGTCAAGATGGAAGCCTGAAGCCGCTGGGCCTTGTCCTTTTTTATTTTTTTCTTTTGTCCTCTTTGAAAGGATTTTCGATTTTTTTTTGGTTTCTCGTTTGGTATTTAGGTTTCGTTTCGATTAATTTAGACTAACCTAAATCATGCACCTAAAAATATTAGATGAGTCTCTTAACAAAAATTATTGTATACACAATGTTTCAAACTCGAGATTTTATTTAAATTAAAACAAATCATTTATCACTTATCCAACTCGTATACGATGGATTTTCGACATATTTTGTTGAGGAGTTTTGTGGACGCAAAAAGGCCCCACCATTTATATATTTTTCATCAATTTTTGAAAACTTTTGAGAGTCGAGACATGGAAAATTAAAGATGCAAACTGCAATCCACCCGTAACTCTAGTCACGTTTTTGTTTTTATTTCTTGTAACTAAAATCATGTTTCACGAAACAAAATTTGACAAGTAAACTATTATTTTCTTTGTTCGTATCTAATAATGAATTATAAAAAGTGATATTTTTATAATTCGACATATTTGAATGTTTTATTTTCTAAGAGTTGAGTTGTCAAAAACATATTTAATGAGTTTTACGACCTTCAAAACACTAATGACAAAGTAATTAATAAAAAATATTTCTCAATTAATAGTTTCAAAAATATGATTTTTTTTCTTTCATTTTTTTTTTCATTTTTTGATGACTAATGTGTGGAAAATTGGAAATCAAACCTCGCTCATATATATGTTCTGTTTTTGCAAATTGTCATAGTCAAAAGGTAGTATTTAGCAACATTCTTCTAGGGTAAAAAATAAGTGTTCAATTCAATCAATTCCACGGCCAAGAAATGAAAAAATCAATCAATTTTCCATTTTCATCTTTTATGAGTCAAAAAGGACAACCTAACTAGCTCATACTCTTAAAGGGAAAAAAAGGCAATTAGGATAGGACGGATTTAATCATCCATTTACTTAGACTTTTTAGTTTTTTCCTTTTTTCCCATAACCAAAGCCAACGTTTCCACAACTACAATATGATTAGGGTGTGTTTGCATATAAACGTTTAGGAGGGTGTGTGGTAAAGCTTAAAGAACACTTCTTTTATATAATCGCAAATTCTTCTAACACAAAATAAAGATATATTTGAGAAAGAGGACTGGGAAAGAAGTATTTGAAGGGATGGAAACATAAAGCAAGTCTTCCACTTCATTGTTAAGCTACTTTCCTGGGAATTCACTTTTACGGTTTCACCTTTTGTAATTTACACACGTGCAGAGGAGCCAAGGTACTGCAGCAAGCATGCAAAAAAAGGTTGCAATAGGAACAGTATAACATGACTTTAGCTCAACTTTTACGGCTGATTTCACATTTTTCTCTCACTCTAAAATCTACTCCTTTGTGTGGGTCGCTGAGAATCACAGCTGTATAATGGGGAACATGCACTTAGCCTATAGGTCTATCTCTGCTTTTGGCCTTGTGTGTTTTTTGTCCAACCCCATGTCCCATGTCTTAAGAAACGGAAATTCAACAGCAAACGTACCAGCTAGTTCAATTCTTATAAGAAGCCCAACATCCCCTCATAATTCCCTACTTTTCATCTATCTATCTTCTTCTTCAGACCCCTGCAAGAAAATGGAGGATCAATGTTATCCACTTACCCGGGGATTTTGCTTCCAGGATGAGGTTTTTTCCTTTTTCTTTGTTTTCTAGTTCTATTATGTTTCTTCTTTCTATGTTTTGTGTTCTGAATTTCTTGATTGACAGGGAATGGATGAATTGAGGCAGACTCTTTTGTACACAACCTTGGAGCTGGAGACAACGTTGATATCAGCTAAGGAGGAGATTGCAAGAAGAGAGTTTGAATTGATTCATCTCAAAGATGTCCTAAGCAGGACAATCAAAGAGAGAGATGAAGCTCAGACAAGATGTCAGAAGCTGACGCTGGAAAAACTCATACTGCAACAGCAACTGGAAATGATACAGCAGCAGAAAGTAGTGCAAGAACATCATCATCAAGAAGTTATTGCACTTTCTGGGATTTCTTCAGGCAGTGAAGATGAATCAAATCCTGTTGACTCCAACAAGCAAATTTCCAGTTCAGATTCCAAAAAAGGCATAATTCCAAGTCCTCAACTAAAATCTGAGGCACCCCTTCTGGAAGAGGCCTTAAAATTGGCAGCTAACAGGCCTTTACCAGAGAAAGGGAAGCTTTTGCAGGCAGTGAAGGAAGCCGGTCCGCTGCTGCAGACCTTATTCTTGGCTGGACCTCTTCCTCAATGGCAGCACCCTCCTCCTCAACTCCACTCCATTGAGATTCCACCGGTGGCCAAGGCCATTTCTTCCCCAACACCGCCGCTACTCATCCACCAAGATTCCTTCAACAGTCTTAATGCCTGTATAAGCAAGAAAAGGGGTCTAGAGCTCTGTGAAGGCTCTGATTCTTCCCCTATAACCAAGTATCAGAAGCCATCTTTTAATTGAGCAATGTCTACTTAGCCATACGAACCAGATACTTAGATTTCCTAACTTCCCTCCATTGTTTAACATGGAGACTGAAAAAACTGTGTTTCATTAATTCTGCTAATTGTGTCCATCAAATGAAATGTGAAATGAAGTTCCATTTTCCATAGCTTTGCTAACTTTAAAGAAAACAAAAATTCTCGCCAAATTCCAGAAACGGGTATGTTCCAATTAACTTAAAAATTCCAACTTGCTGTGTTTTTTTATTTTCTTCTAGATTAAAAGCAGATCCATGATGACTAGTATGACTGGAATAACCAATTACATGTATTTTCCTACCCATGAAGCACACCTACCACTCATGCTGAGTGTCTGCCATTAAAAGTGCATGCAATAGGATTTCTCTTCATCATGAGTTGTATGCATTCGAGCTTCCTGATTGATTGAAAACCCATGTTTGAAATCCTCAAAAACAATGGCTTGCTTCACATGGAGGGGTCATTGTTTTTGCTTTAAACCCACTCAAGCAGCAAGGCATCAATTTGTTTACTAATGTTGCTTTCACCAAGTCATTTCGCCATAATCGCGCCTAGCACATGCTGATGATTAACCCAATATTCATCCTTCTCCTTTTATGTCCCCACACGTTTTTGAAAGCTCTAATTTTGCTGTGCCAAATTGCCATATCCCATTTTTTCTTCTTCACAGTACAGAACATAGAGCCAGTCAACAGAAATTTTTGAAAAACAAATAAAAAAAAAATAAAAATCAATACGATTTGGCATTTTAAATATTAAGTTTGTTTATGAATTTGTTTAAATATTAACTTAATTTTAAAAGTCCATATTTAAATACATCGTATCAAAATTATATTATCAAATAAATTTTATTTGTATATTAATTCATTAAAAATATTTAAATTTTTTTATCATGATTTTTTTTTGCTGATAACAGTTTTTTTATTTCTTATCTCACTTTATTTATATGTTATGCGACTCAAATTTATGATATTTTATTTTTAATAAAATAAAGTTATTACTGAATTATTTAAAAATAATTATAATTTTTGGTAATTTTATAAGATTTTATTTTTGAAAAAAAAAAACCTTGGATTTTCTTGATCAGGAGACAAAGAAAGGATCTTTTGAGGGGAAAGGGATATTTTTATTACTGTACAAAAATCTACAGTTCCTTCTTCTCTGGGACTCGTGAAGTGGGAAAGGGGTTCAGTTAAGGATGTTTCTTGCACAGTTCCCTCCACTTTCACTTCCCCCCTCAGCAAACGCCAACAGTCGTCTCCTTGTTCCTTCGCCTGCCACGTGTCTTTTGCCACCGCCACGCCTCTGGTTCGATCGGAAGTTAAACAGTGTTCTCTCTCTTCCCCGCCCATCCACGCACTTCCACAGACAACGCATCAGCTGCTCCTCCTCCGCCATGCCGATTCAGGCCACCTCGTCTTCTCAGGTTTCTCTCCCTCTCTTGAATACACAAACATTTGACATGCGCGCACCCAAACTTGCAGTTGTAGTGTGTCTGTTGATGTTTATGTAGTGGTTTATTGTATTAGAGTACAGTTTAGTTGCTTAATTCTGTGATAGGTCTTTTGTGGGTTTTGAATAAGATGCTGATGTGAATGATAATTTGCTTCAAATGGTGGTCAGTTGCAGGATAGTTTGTTGTATTCGAGAGCATTTTGGGTTAGTAAAAATATAATTGCTTGGAATGTAGATGTTGGGGATGGTTCATGCTACTTGTATGCTAGTAAAGTTGCTTCTCTGTCTGTTACGGATGATGGAATTCAAGGTTTGACTTCACTGACTTTGTTGCTTTTAATCATGGTTATCAAAAGTTTTTGAAAATCCCTGAATTTGTTTCTGAGCATTTTTCTTGTCACAGGGGAAGATGTGACAATCGAGCTTGAGGAAGAGAGTAGCGGTCTACCAATAAATGTAACATGTTTAGTCATTTCAGTAATAATGATAGTTTTAAGATCTATGAATGGTAGTTTTGCTGATCTCATTGTTGGCCTACACATTGTCTCTCTTTTTTTTCCCACATAATGCATCTTTTGAATAAATTTAACTATGATTGACTTGTATGCCTGACCTTGATCTTGATCTTGTTAGGTGATTGAGAAGTTTCCTCATATTCGAGATTATAGACCTTTCAAAGTGCCTCTTGCTTTGGATGCCGAAAATCTCCTCAAATGCCAATTAGCAGTTGCTACTTACGACTGTAAGCATTTTGTCGTTTTTCTTGTATTGTACATCAGTGAATTATTTGACACCAATCAACAAGTAAGTGATGTGCATATCAAAGTAATTTCATTCTTAATGATGATGTGTTTTTCACAAATTTTTCTGTGTTTGGAAAATTGATCCGAAATTATTAAATGTGTTTGTTAAGTGTATATGTAAATTCCTCTAATGCCATGGATCAAACTGTTGAACAGATTTGCTGGTCTGTCTTTTTATCTCAGTAACACTGGTTCTCTGTGTTTCCATGGCCATTGAGTTTTTTAATCAAGAGATTTTCATTGATTTTCTGGTTATCAGAACTTTTTCTTCTAAGTGAAGATATTGCTTCTAGTTTAGTGACAAAACTTGCTACACTAATATCTATATATCTTTGTCTTCTTCAATACAGCTGGTGGGAAATGCATCAATGCTACTGGTTTGCAGTTGCCTGGTATCCTAGATGAGTTATTCTCATATGATGGTCCCCTTGGGGCAGTTTACTCTGAAGAAGCTGTGTCACTTTACCTTTGGGCTCCCACTGCTCAGGTATTTCATATTTTGCTAAATAAAATTTTCTGGATGCTTCTTATTGGCATGGTCAATAAAGTGCTCCTTTTGTTTTCATTTTTCACTTTTAAATCAAAAACAGGAAGTTCAAGCTCACATCTATAAAGAGCCAGTAGGTGGGAGTCCCCTGGAAACTGTCCAGCTCGTGGAGGCTGATGGTGTTTGGTCTGTTAAAGGATCAAAAAGTTGGGAAGACTGTTACTATGTTTATGAGTTATCCATCTATCATCCAAGTACATTGCAAGTAGAAAAATGCTATGCAAATGATCCATATGCTAGAGGGTATGCTGGTTGTCCTATTTAGCTACACCATATTACTCATATAGCCATTTTTCCTACTGGAGCATATTTACTTGTATGCTGCATTTAATAGATACATATGTGAATGCTCCTGATTGTTTATGTGGTTTCCTTTGTTGGAGAAGGCTTTCATCAGATGGCAGGCGAAGTTTGTTGATCAATCTTGATGCTGAGAATTTAAAGCCAGAAAAATGGGATAAATTGGCTGATGAGAAACCTGATTTACTTTCTTCTTCTGACATAAGTATATATGAGTTGCATATAAGGGATTTTAGGTAAATATTTGTGATTATTTTTTCGGTTTAACTTAACCTAACTTGTCTCATGTTTAGTTTACTTCTTAGAAACTACATAAAAAACCTTTAGAGGGTAAGTAGGTTGCATGTTATCTAATTCCTCAGAACCATTCAAGTTATTTGAAGAGATTCTGGATGATTGAGAGTCTTTCTGACTCAAGCTCCACATGCATATTGTGGACCCTATTATTTGTTTTCTCCTCTTCGCTTTTCACAACCCCAATGGCAATCAATACAGCAGGGCCTACAGGCCCTTTCTTTTGATTTGGTCTTGTCACCTTCTGAATAGCCATTGTTTCAGCAGAGTTCTTTAGGGTCTGTGTTACTTATAAAGGTTCTGTATTGTTTTGCAGTGCCAGTGACAACACTGTGCATCCTGATTTTCGTGGTGGCTACCTAGCGTTCACCTTGCAGGTAGTAGCTCTCTTCTTCTGTTTCTTCCTTTTTGGAAGTTGTTCATAAGAAAAAATACTGGTCTACTTGTCTCTAATACGAATGTAAGAGGGAGAACAGATCGTGTTTAACATAGATTTTCATAATGCCAAAAAGATAATATCATTGCTACTATTTTCGTGTTGTTACGTGGGTATCAGTTGTCAAGAGTTAGTTGTTGTAAGTCTTGCGACTTGTGGATTGCTGAAGTCTAAAATCTTTGCTAGGGAAAAAAATCTAGATGCTGAAGGTAGAATAACAGCATTCTTTCATCCGTTTTTGATAATTCTTGTTTGGACTTTGGAGACTTAGAAGTGGAAAAGAATAAAACGTTGGAGGGAATATTCACACTAATGTTCATGTGTAAGGTAAACAGAATAACAGTTATGCATTGCTTAACAATAAGGTGTGCTCTGTTTGAAGGACTCAGCTGGCATGCTGCATCTGAAGAAATTATCAAATGCTGGTCTCACTCATGTACATTTGCTACCATCTTTCCAATTTGCTGGTGTTGATGACAAGAAGGAGAACTGGAAGTCTGTGGGTAAGAGATTTTGCCTTAACCTCTTTCATTGACTCATTGAGCAGCAATTCTGTCTTTCTGCTTGGTAATTGGTTTTCTGCTGTCACTGAATTTGACTTTTATCTGCATTTCAGCTGCGGTAGTATAATAAGGAAAGAACTTAGATTGCTGTTCTGTAATTTTCTTTCCCATGTTTACTTCATAGACTTTTGCAGATTTCAATATTCTGGAAAAACTACCACCGGATTCAGCTGAGCAACAAGCACAAATTACTGCAATCCAAAATGAAGATGGGTATAACTGGGGGTATGCTCCTGATATTGATTTGTAAGAATGTTTTATATTTGTGTGCATGCCTATGTTACTCTTTTTGCACTTTGCCTTGTGAAGGTACAATCCTGTTCTCTGGGGGGTCCCTAAAGGAAGCTATGCAATTAATCCAAATGGTCCATGCCGTACAATTGAGTTCAGAAAAATGGTTCAGGTACCTTTTTAGGACAAGGCTGTCAGTGTAAAGTATGGTGAGATGCAGGCCAAAGATATATTCTTTGGTCATTTATGGTATCAACTAAAAGCAAAGCAGTTTATCTTATTTGGTCTTAAATTATCTTTCCTTTTCTTTTCCCATTTCAATCTAGGGACTTAATCGCATTGGCCTTCGAGTTGTTCTGGATGTCGTCTACAATCACTTGCAAGCAAATGGTCCCTTTGATGAGAATTCTGTTCTTGATAAGGTCATGGTTGTTGCTGGTTCTCCATACATACATTTTCTTTCTGACAGCACCATGTTTGCTAATTAAGTTTCATTGTGTAAGTTACTACTATCATGCCCTACATACTCTTCTATTCTGACATGAAGTTTCTCATAGATTGTTCCAGGTTACTATCTCAGAAGGGACACAGATGGTTTGATCCAAAACAGTACATGCATGAATAACACTGCCAGTGAGCATTATATGGTTGATCGTCTGATTATTGATGACCTCCTAAGCTGGGCAATTAATTATAAGGTGATTCTTGGTAACTGTGTTTCTTAACTTTTCATGGTTAGTTTTAGTCAGCCATTGATATGTTGTTTTGTTAAGCTAGAGTTTATGTTTTTCTACATAATGTTGCTTATATATTTGGAGGGCTTATTTTCTATTTTTTATTGTATGATGATGTTGCCAGGTTGATGGGTTCCGTTTTGACCTTATGGGTCATATAATGAAAAGTACAATGGTATGTTGCTCTCTAAATTTTTACTTGCAGATTTTATCAGAATTGATTGAAAAGGTTATTCATTTGAAGACTAATTGAATTTTTTTTCTGGTCAACATTGTTGTCAGATTTAAATGACATGATACAAATACATGCTGCTAGTGCAGTGCCTAATCTGTTAATAGAGTCCAGTAATTTGGGTATCTAGTTGGTATTTGGATTAATTATATTCAGTATCATCATGCATTACCTGGTGCCTATGCTTGCTAGTTGCTAATTAATGATATTAGTTACAAATGAATGTAATGTGGCTTTCCTCCTCCAAACAAAAGTAAACATCAAACTACGACACCATGAAAAAAATAAAAAATAAAAAATAAAAATCCTAGTTATGACCAATACATGCACATGAGATAAAGGAACTAACTTTATGATCTCTTCATAGGTTAAAGCAAAAAATGCCCTTTATAACCTAACAAAGGAAAGGGATGGAGTTGATGGTTCAAAAATATATATGTAAGTATTTACTTATGAAGTGATTTTTTGTCTTTGTCAATGACTCTTTTAGAAACTTAGTATATCTATTGTAGCACGTACATCCTTGGCATAATTTTGGCAAAATGTTCCTATTGTTAGATATGGTGAAGGATGGGACTTTGGTGAAGTGGCTAATAATGGACGTGGAATAAATGCTTCACAGTTAAATCTTTATGGGACTAGAATAGGAAGGTACATCTTATATTTTAACAGTTTACTTCTCTAATTTGTTACCAGATTAAGATTTTATTAAGGATGGTATTGTTCTTCTGTGATTGATTGATGATCTATCAGCACACTATACATCCTTTTAGGGAAAGTCATTAAGCCTTAGATGCATTTTCATTTAATTTGAATGGTGGCAATTTGATCCAGTTTTAATGATCGGATTCGAGATGCTATGCTTGGTGGATCCCCATTTGGTGACCCTCTTCAGCAAGGATTCATTACTGGCCTATTATTGCAGGTATTCAAATAATTTCTTCAGGTGCAGGTGCTTTACATTTCCATAATGAACTATCCTTGAATGTGAGTTTTACCCCCTTTTAATGGCATAGAAGCGAGTGCTTAGCTTTGTAGAGGTTTAAATCTTGACCTTAACCCCACAATAATGTTTTGGAATTAGTGAATACCAACTTGGCTAAGCGCTTGTTGGTAATGTGAGTCATACCTTGTCATAACATTAAAATTAGGGGTTGACAACCACCTCTTGAAAAGCTGAATAAAGCTATGGTTACTTGTCAGTGGTTGGTGAGTGACTTTTGGTTTTAGGCTGCCTCTTCCGTTAACTTCATCCTCTAATTGATTTTTCGTGAATTTTGTTATGAACCAATTTTTAACTTTCTTTGCAGCCTAACAATCATGACCACGGTACAAAAGCTGATGAAGAACTCATGTTTGCTTCAGCAATGGATCACATTCAGGTTTATTATCTTGACAGATTTCCAACATGTGATGGTTTAGCATATCATTCTAGTATAAGATTTCTTCCTCAGAGCTAACTAAATTAAAAATTGCAATTAGCTTGGATTAGCTGCAAACTTGAGGGACTTTGTACTAACTGATTCTCAAGGAAAAGAGGTATAGATAATCCTGCTAAATGATGTTGTATGTGATTCTTTACTTCTCATCTTATATTTCTTTGATGATGCTTCAACATAATGATAATCACTAATATTCAAATTTATTCTGACATGTTCTCTCAGGCAAAAGGATCCGAAGTTTTAACTTATGGTGGAACACCCGTTTCATATGCTTCATGTCCTACAGAAACTGTATATATCCTTATTTATATTAGACTTTCGTGACATCCGGATTCCATTTCATTGCTTTTTGTTTGTTCTTTTTTTGAGAATATTGTCTTTGGAACATGCTTATGAAGCATTACTCCTATTTATTGCGTGTTAGTATCAACTGGTTATATCCTCTGAAATAAAATTTGGTTTTCTTTAATTGTTTACCAGATCAATTATGTTTCTGCTCATGACAATGAAACCCTTTTCGACATTGTGAGTTTGAAGGTACAGTCATTATACTCTTTGAAAGTACTATGTTGTTGCACATTATGAGTTCTAACTTTGACCCTTTACTTGCAGACTCCAATGGGAATCTCTGTAGACGAGAGATGCAGGATAAACCATTTAGCAACAAGTATAATAGCACTGTCACAGGTTTGATATACATATAAAATTATCTGGTCATATACATTTATATTTTGGTGTATATTCCTAATCAACTGTTCTAAATGCTTTCTTCTCTATTTCATCTCCAACATTTGTAGGGAATACCATTTTTCCACTGTGGCGATGAAATGCTGCGCTCAAAGTCACTTGATCGGGATTCATACAACTCTGGTGATTGGTTTAATAGGCATGCTGTCACTCCATCTCTTTCCTCTTAAAATTATTGATTTTCTCCATGATAATATTGGTTCAGAGCTGCAACTTGGAATATATCACTGACGATCACTAGATATTTGAAATCTTAATGTCAAATTATGAGTGTGATGTTGCTGGTTTTAACATAATCTTAGTTTCCCCCAAGTTTAGTATTTGCCTGTTGCAATTTTCAGATTAGATTTCATTTACAATTCTAACAACTGGGGTGTTGGCCTTCCTCCAAAAGAGAAAAATGAGAAGAACTGGCCACTGTAAGCACCAACTTCCTTTTATTTTAGATGATTCTGAATTTGAAAATAATTTTATGCTGCTAAGAACTCCTTTTCCTAGTTAGCACACAAGCATTCTATTTCCAGGCATCTACTGTGATTTCCCTAGTAACAAGCTTGGGCAACACATCTTCTCAGGATACAACCAAGACTGGCAGATCCATCGTTCAAGCCTCAGAAGAGTCACATCCTTGCAGCTGTAGAGAACTTTGTAAATGTCTTATGTATACGGTATTCCTCACCGCTTTTCCGTCTAAGGACAGCAAATGCTATCCAGGTGAGAAAAGTCATTGTGCTTTTATCTTTTCAATATTTGAGGATAAAACATGATGACATGACTGGGGACTTGAAATATCTCTAACTTGGATAGTCAATAAGAAATAAGCTCTGCTAACATCTTCGATAAGGGCTTGATCCTTGTGGTAATTTTCAGACGTGAATAAATGAATTTAAAATTTATAAGAAATAATATGAGCTGATAAAAAAAGAAGAAGAAGAAATAATATGAGTTATGTTCTCAGGAACGGGTACGATTCCACAACACTGGTCCATCATTGATACCTGGTGTCATGGTGATGAGTATTGAAGATGGTCATGAAGGTTTTCCAGGGTTATCTCAACTTGATCCTACGTGAGTGGAGTACAGTATACTCCTTTCTATTATGATATTGATGAATATAAAAAATAATACAAACTTTATTCTTTGTTATCTACAGCTACTCTTACGTGGTGGTTATCTTCAATGCAAGTCCATCTGAGGTGTCGTTCAGTAGCCTTGCACTGCGGGCAAGGACTCTTCAACTGCATCCTGTACAGGTTTTCACATTTCCTGAAATCCCAATTTCAAATTTTGTTTTTCAACCAAAAGGGATTGATCTTAACATTGTCTTTAGCATGAATGCTTCCAATCCTGATTGGGATGCAGGTGATGTCAAATGATGAAGTAGTGAAAAAGTCATCCTATGAAGCTTCAACCGGGTGCTTCACTGTGCCCTCAAGGACAACATCTGTGTTTGTTGAGCCTCGTAAAGTTTGAGCAGGTTGAATCCTGATTGTTCCTTTTCTGTTTAAGTAGTTCAGTGCTATAATATGCCAGTATTCCCTCTAAACCATCAGGCCAGAGGCACAGCACTAGTTCTTCTTTCTACAGAGAATTTTAACCAAGATATCGCTTGAAAGTCTGTAAACATGGTTTTATCCGCTACTGTTCTTAAGGAGACATAAAGCAAATGTTCTCTTTTATGATAATAATAAGCGGATGGATGAATAAAGTTCCAGCACCGTTAAACCTTGTATTTCATGAATAAAGTTAGAAAATATTAAATTCTAAAATATTCCTCCATTTTACTGATGCATTCATATATCATATCACTAGTAAGAGTGCTTGCAGGGTTTGAATTGTATTACCTATGCCAAACAGGGAAAGGTGAACTCAGAATGTTATAGACCCATTCGGAATCTGCCACTACTGTCCCAGAAAGAGAGATTAGGGAGCAATAATAAATTGAACATCTCCATTTTTGAATTAAGGATTTGCAATCAGAGATGGTGGTGTTTTCCTTCACTGAATTCATATTGAGCACTTGATTCATGATGGATGGTGACTTTGACTTGATGTTCTTGGTAATGGATTCCATGTATTCTTTGGAAGTACCTAAGGAAAGGGGTCTGAAAGTTAAATGAATTTAATAGTATGAGACAGACTCTAAGAAAATTCCCCATTCCAGTAACTAAGCTAATACTAGTTTACACAGATCTTTAAGAATAAAAAACACCAATCAATAATCTTCTTCCAATAAAATGTAACTTCCCTGGTACCTAGCACATCAATAGAAAGAAGTGCACTATCTAGAGAAGAATAAATGTGAACCGTGGGATTCCTATTTTTGGGGTTAATTTATTAAAAGCCAGCAGGGTGGTGTTTGCTTCCAACTAACATGCTGCAATTGAGTGGCTCAGAAGCTACTGAATCTCTCTTCTTCCATGGAAGACTTGTGAAGTGGAAGGAATAAAATAAGACTTGGAAGTTGGAATCAATCAATAAAAAATATAGGAAGGTCGGTTGTACATTCACTGGCATGCTTGAAGCTAGCTCATTCATTTTTTTCCCGGAAGCATTAGAAAAATAAAAGCTGCAGATCAACAAAGGGAGGATAGGAATCCATGATTAAGGACTAAGGATCCTTTGCTTCTCCAAATCCTGTTGCTTTGATTTGGTTCTTTCCCTTACGTGCCGCACACAATCAAACTAATAATTCTTCATCTCACGCCAAGAACTCGGCCTCCTTCATGTGTAAATGTATTTACAAAACTAATTCCCATATAATTTAGTATGAATAACCTATTTTTAACTAAATTAATTAGGTACATTATGATACTTAAAATAAGTTTGTTGACCCTTGCATACATGATTGTTCTTTCTAGGAATTTGCTCTCTCAATTTTATGCATTTTAATGAACCTGATGATTGGGTATACCATAAATAATTGGCAGTTTAATATGATAATTAATCAAGTGGACTAGTACCTCTTACCCTCTTAGGTTTACTACAGAAAAAACAATAAAAATGAATAAATTAAAGTGATAAGATAATTAATTAGTGGGTCAATGACATATGAACTGATTGATTAGGAACCAATTGTGTGCACAATAATGTAACCATCACAAATATACATTTCAAAGTTTGAGATATAGCCATATATATAGGTGCATTATTATACTATTATATGTTCACAAAATTTATTGAAGTATGTACGTTAGGTAATTCATAAGCAAAATGAAATTTAAAACTTCACTTTAATTTAGTAACACACTCCCTGCAATTCTGATCCACAAGACAACAGCAAGATTTTCCCATAGAAAAGGGCTGCAGTTTCATCATCCTTCAGTGTAACTCTCCATTCAGATTAAATTCCTGTAAAAACTAGCTCGTTAATTTATATACATAAACTGCAAATTTTTGTACTGTTTACTTGTTTAGCCGTTTAAGAAAAAATTTTAGTCAGCACTATGAGCAATCTTGAGTTGAAAACTCTACAAGTTTCAAGTTGGTTGTGTTACTATATTATTTGAATTAATTAAATACGTTAATAAGAGATTTCTCTCAACTGGTTTTTTTAAAACATCTTTTGCTTGTTTCTAACTTTAAACTTTAGTTAAATTTAAGACCTTTTATGTTGATATACTTTTTTTTTTTTTACAGTTTACAATTTAAGGGATTAGGAGAAGAGAATTTTTTAAGACACTGATGAAGTTCAAAACCTTGATCAACTAAGCCAAGCATTTTAAAATTTGGGAACAAACTACTTAAATCTGAAAACTCGATTCTATGGAGATATACTTTGAACTCAAATACTAGTAGGGTTGTCATGTACTCTAAAATTTGGAACAGTAAAACTGTTGTAGTTTTTGTTAAAAAGAGTTAGGTAAAAATATCCAAAGTAATTGATGGTGATGCAAGTATGATAATATAGAGGATGAGAAAATAATTTTTATAAAAAAATGAATAAAGAAAGGGAGGGAAAGGAGGGAGAAGCGGAGATTCCGTGGGTTCCAGGCTTGCACTCCGATCAACTAATTGTAGAGAATCGTTGAGGCAAAGTAATGGGCTTTTTCTTGCGTTTTGTTTTCTCACCACTCGCTCCTTTCCTTTGCCTTCTCTCTCATCCCATTTTAAGATTGGAGTGGAGTGAATTTAGACACATTATCCTCTGCATCACTCCCTGTCTCTGCACTATTATCCTTTCTTCCAAAAGACTCCCTTCCCTCACGCCTCCCCTTTACTGTTGTTTGATTTTGATTACTAACAAGAACTTAACATTCAGCTAGTATTTACTAATTTTAATACATTGATTTCATTCATTAAAGTCGTATCTAAATATCTAGAGAATTATCATAGTCAAACACAAATTTTTAAATAGTTAAATTTAACATTAAGATATTATCTATTATATAAATATATTTTTATTAACATTTTGTTATTTGTCAATCATATTAAATCTCGATTAATTTAAAATCGATTTTATTAGATCCTATAAGAATAAGCGTTTTTTTGTTTTTTTATTTACAAAATTCAAAATGAATACTTTATTTAAAAGAAATTAATTTTTTTTATTTAAACTAACAAGTTCTTGATATATTATTTATTATATTACTTATCATTAAATGTATCAAAAATAATGACGTGAAAGTTAAGCCCTTAGTAGGGGTAGGGAGAGGCCTATCGAAGGGAAGGGAGTTATGAGTTGTTACTTGTTATGGGTTTGATGATATGGTGAAATGGCGTTGGCAAAGTTTGAGAAAGAGAGTGTGAAACGGACTTTACGTTAACAACCTCTCCAACTGTTTTTACTCTCCATCTCCATTGCCCTCCTTCTAATTTTGCATTTTTTCAGTTACAAAATTTTGCTTCTTAATTTTTTGACGAATGGACTAATCTAATTCTCACTTACTGTTTCATTGGGTCACCATTTGACTCCTCAACTCGCCCCTTTTTCTCATATAATTCTTCCTTCATTCTCTTTGTATATAAATTGCATTCCACTTCCTCTTTAGCTTCCTCCATACCCTCTCACCCTCTCTTTTGTCTCCCTTTTTGTGTGGTGGTGGAGGATAATGGAAGCTCCGGAGGAAGTCGCTATGGGGTCCAATGAACAGACCAACATCGTCAAAGGGAAGAGAACCAAGCGTCTCCGCCCTCAATCCCCCACCCCTTTCCCTCACTACAGCGGCGGAGATGATACCAAGAGTTCTTCCTCCGAATATGTAAGCACCGAGGAGGAGGAGGATATGGCTAATTGTTTAATCCTCCTCGCTCAAGGCCAATCCAGGGATCAATCTCCAAAACAGGACGACGTTGACACCGGAGCAATTTGCCATAAATTCAATAGTAGGAGGTTCATGGAGGCGCCTTCTACCGGTGGCGGCAAAGCAGGGTACTATGTTTACGAGTGCAAGACTTGTAACAGGACGTTCCCGTCGTTCCAAGCTCTCGGCGGCCACAGAGCCAGCCACAAAAAGCCAAGGGCTTCCATCATGGCAGTGGAGGAGAAGAGGCATTTCTCCGATGAAGAAGGAGGACAGTTTTCGCAATTCATCAAGAACAACAACACGATCTCTTCTAATTTATCTCTTCAATTGAGTAACCATAACAATAACAGGGGAGGTTTGTTTAGCAATAACAACAAGAGGGGTAAGGTTCATGAGTGCTCAATTTGCGGGGCGGAGTTCAACTCCGGTCAGGCCTTAGGCGGTCACATGAGGAGGCACAGAGGGCCGACGGGGAGCTCCAGCACCACCTTGTCATTGACACCCATGGCAGGGTCTATGGAAACAGAGCAACCCAAGAAACAGAGGAGCGTTTTGTCCTTAGACTTGGATCTCAATCTTCCAGCCCCGGAAGAGGATCACCGGGAATCTAAGTTCCCCTTTGCTTCCAAGCAACAACAACAACCGAAGCAGCAGCAGCCGCCGCCGCAGCAACAACAACCACAATCGCAACCGCCTCTTGTCTTCTCCACCCCTGCTTTGGTAGGATGTCAGTACTGATCCACAAATGGTTAAACCCAATTTTTTCCCTTTTAATTCTATATCACACACACATACGATCCAAAGCAGGATTTGGTGTTAATCAATCACCAACAAATATTATTTTGATTTTTTCCACATTTATACAAAAATTTACAAGATTTTTTCAATTCTTCCCCTTCATTGATCAAATGTTCGTGATTATACGGAGTTGAACTCGAACTCGAACTCAATTCTTTGATAAAGGAATGAATACTATTATGCCTTTGTTTTGTATCTAAATTGCTCATGTAAAGTTCATGATAAGTATCTTTTTCTTCTCCTTTTCAATTGGGATTTTGTTGTTTTTGGGTTAGGAAATGCATTACACACTTGAGGAGGGAGAAAAAGAGTCTTTTGGGTGGATTTGTGGCATAAAATTTCATTGTTTGGTTTGCAAGAAAACTTTTATTTTCTTCTCTCTTTCTCTCTCACATGTTGGTGGCGGCAATAATAGAATAAAAGGGAAGGGAAAGAGAGGGAATAACTGCACTCCTCGTATGAATCCACCTCTTGTCCTTTCTCTTTATATGACAAAAATGCTGCTAAAAGATGTTCCTACATAGCCTTTTTTTATCTTTCTCCCGCGTTATTTAGTTGCCCACTCAAATCCACCTAATCACTACTTGGACTTACGCTTCATTTCCCAGAAATCTTAGAAAGCACCCCACTTTGGACCCTTTTTTTTTCAATATCTAGTTCTGCATTCACTACATAGGTATATGTTACAATGTTAATTTAGGTTACATCAGATACATGTTTAATTAATTCAGTTATGTTTTGATAGTAGGAAAAAAAGGAGGGGCTAATATGGTAGTTTTTGGAAGCAGTGATGAGATCTTGTGTAATTAAACACGGTTACAGATAATTAAACTAATGAAAATACTGTGGTGTGTGCTGGGTTGGAACATTGGAGTTGTCGATGATATCCAATTAAGGTTGGAGTAAAGAAGACAAAGAGCGTTGTAGGCCTCGTATAATGGGCATTTTTAAGCATCATTAGCTGTTCTTTAAGTAAGAGTTGGTGTCTATCTGTCTATGTCTACCTCACAAGACAAATACGGTGGAGAGAGAGGCTACAATTGTGAGGTTCCAAAAAACGCTATTGACCGTGCCAAGTTGTGTGCAGTTTTCTTGTGCTAAATTAGGAGTTGGATCAATCCTTTTAGTGTAAATAAATGATGCTGATTGTGAGGCTGGAGAACAATTAATGTGCCAAGTTGTGCAGTTGGCTGGTGCTTTTTAAGGAGACTAATCAACCCATCATGAGTTTATGATAGAATTAAGGGATTCATCTTCATTACTAGAGCATATTAATCTGCTAAGGCTGTGCAAAATGGAACTCAGGCTAATTAAAACATATTTCTTTCTGTTTCTGTCATTATTTGGGTTTGTAGGGTGTGACAATCCAAGCTTAAACGTGATAACACGTGCTTAATTAATGGTGTATTTGTTTTGTGGCTCTGCTTAAAAGATAAGGAAGCGCTCCAGCTACAATGTGTTTATGGGCAGTTAGATGACCAAATTTCAGAGAAAATGTTTCTGCCTTTATATCCGTTTGGTAACACGTGCAGTTGGGTGATGGAGATGAACCCTACAACCAAATGTTTGTTTTGAGTCTTCTTCTGGATTCTTTTTTTTTTTTTTTTTGGTAATTATTAAATCTACTTTAAAATCTGATCAAATTTATAGATGACATTATGTCAAATAACACTCAAGCAAATATTAGAGAATTTATAAAAAATTAATTTTAAAAAAATTAAATACTTTTTTCTTTTTGACCAGTGAGAAATTTGGGGATGAAAAAATAGTTATAATATTACTGCACTGACAGCTTGAACTCTTGACAAAGACACTAAGGGAAAAGGTGCACTTCCATCACGGTTAAGGCCGCAAGTGCAAAATTAAATACTTATTAACAAGATGATGAACAAATTTTCTTATTAATTAATCTTTCAACCCTAAAATAAAGTTTGGTAGTTTTCGCCGTCAAATTTTCTTGTGGCTAATCTTCCCACTATAATGCATGCACATGATGGGAGATTACTTCATTTTCCACGGGTTTAAATTAATTTAGAGGAAAATGAAAGAGGACCAAACACAAACAGAAAAAAAAAAATGTGGAAAATGTCGAGGAAGGACAAGGAACAACAACTTCGGTGAATTGAAGTTGGACATCTATTATTTTTGTACTGCCTAAACAATGATTCCTAAACCAAACCTAACAAATCAAAATCTATCTTTCCATGTTCTTGCTGTTGCCTATTGTTTATCTCTCAGGGCTAACAAAATCAGAGCTTGTGGTTAGCAGTGATGCCTCGAATCACATTTTTTTAGTTTTTTTTTTATATATTTAAATGAATTATATAAAAAGAAATAATTTTTACATTTTCTTAAAACATTATCATCTGATTTAAAGTTTAAAATTAAAATCTTAAATTTAAAATTTTAATCTTTTAACCATTAAACTACTTCTTAGAAGTATCACCTTTTTTTAGTTTCGAGTCTTGAATCACAATCACATCCAAACCTTGCATGCAGTTATTACAATTTAGAAACAAATTGAAAGATTTTAGATATATCTATGCGGGTTGTTGATCTATATCAGTCACAAAAGGAATTTCTTATATATTTTACTTAAATTTTGGTACAGATGTTTAGTCGATTAAACCTTTTACTTTCTAAATTAAAATATAAAATTTGATTATTGACAAGTGTTTACTCATTATTTTAAAATATGAATGAAAATTTATTAACAAATAAGACCAAATCATATTTTAATTTTCAATTTTATAATTTTTATTAGAAATTTCTTTTCCTTCACATTTTCTGAACCAAACGGGCTGTAAAATTATCAAATTAGTGGCCTGGTACGGTTTGATGAGGATGTGATTGAGGCGAAGCCCAAAACGTAATTGCACACGTAACATAAGTGAGAATTGTCCATGGGCCTCCAAAATAATTATGCAGAACGAGCCCAGCCCAAGAAGGCAAGTTTTTTTTGGCGGCCGAGAGACGGATGGATTATTGAAAGCTGAAACGAAAACACCAAAAATCCCAAAATTCAGATTTCAGATTCTTTCTCCGTTCAATATATCAACAAAGAGAAGATCGGAGCAACATCGCCGGCAACAATGGCGGCGGCGTCAAGCAGCGGCCTGACCTTCAAGCTTCACCCACTGGTAATCCTCAACATATCCGATCATTATACTCGAGTAAAGTCGCAGATGAATCCTCCAATCTCATCCGGCAACACCGCCAACAGTATCAACGGCGGCGACCAGAAACAGCATCAATCACCGCCTAGAGTGTTCGGATGCGTAATCGGGGTGCAGAGAGGTCGTACTGTTGAGATCTTCAACAGCTTCGAGCTTCTTTACGATCCTTCCACTCACTCACTCGACCGTTCTTTTCTTCTGAAAAAGCAAGAGCTCTGTATGTTCTTAACTTTTTTTTCTTTTTTATTTTTAGTTGTTTAATTTGTTTATAGTCTCTTTGTCCCATATTTTGATTCTCTTTTGCCGCAATAATTCGCGAACATGGCAGATAGGAAGGTTTTCCCCCAGTTTTATATACTCGGATGGTACTCTATTGGGAGTGATGCTCAGGAATCCGATATGCACATCCACAAAGCTGTATGTTGATCCTTCTTTGCTGTATCTTATGCTTTTCAACTAACGTTGCAGAAAAAAAAATATTGCTGTTTGTTTTTTCAAGGCTAGGAACTCTCAATACTAATATAGTTATGGTTGCTATATGTTGAGTTCATATATTTGCCGTGTGTAGAAAAAAAAAATGTTGCTGTATGTTTTTTCGAGGCTAGGAATTCTCAATACTAATATAGTTATGGTTGCTATCTGTTGAGTTCATATATTTACTTAATTTTACCACCATAATTTTGTGAAATAACAATATGTGGAATTTGTAACATTTGGTAATGAGCTGATCGAAGGTTTAATAAGCATTAAGAAAATATTGCTTGTGAAAATGGCGTCTTGCATATCTGGATGAAGACTGAAGAGACATCCTGCTTTTTGCTATGAACGTTCAATTGTGTCTTGTTGTTTATGACTATGTGACTGGCAGATTTGGATGCATTATTTGACTTTTATGAATGTTGATTTGTGCCAGTTGATGGATATTAATGAAAGCCCCGTCTATGTTCTGCTCAATCCTTCAATCAATCATGCCCAAAAGGATCTTCCCATTAACATCTATGAGAGTGGTATGTATCTTTTGACTTCATAGGTGTCTTCAATCGAAGCATCAATGTGATTTCATTCTGGTTGCATGCACCTTTGGGAAAAAGGAGATCCTTCTCAATGTCATCTGGTTCTCTTTCTGAATGTAGTTTTTTCAGACAAAGAGAAAAGACATGATTCACTGGTCCCATTGCTTTAGTCTAATATTATGGTGAATGTGAGGGTGAGGGGCTTTTGCTAAATTCTGGTTCTACATACATATCTTTTGATTAAATGCAGTATGCCAAATTAGACTCAGCACTCAGGTGACATTCTATTGATCAAATCTTGGAACTTGTAATACCCATTGTTTAGAACTGGCTCTTCAATCTGTTTCTCTTTTCATGTCTAAAGATTAACTGGATGTCTGAGTCATGGCATAGTTGATTAAATATTGTTGCTAAAAATCATGTTTCTGTGGATTGGAACAACATTTTTGTTGCCTTGTCTTCCCCTGAAGAACCTAATTAGGTAACATTTTCAATTCCTAATTATTGTAAGATTGTAACATTTTCTGTTCCTGTTGTTGCCGATCATCAAAAATCAAGAGCTGCATGTCATAGATGGGATTCCACAGCTTATTTTTGTCTGCTCAAGCTACACAATTGAGGTTCATATTTTCATTCTCATCTATCTTGTTTAAGCTTAGTCTTACTGGCCGAGTTTGTTGAGATTGCTC